TCACAAGCCCCATACTTAAATCATTAAGCCATCTGACTAGGCTGTTTCCTTTCCCAATGAAATACAATGAGATCAATATACTTACTTGATTAAATCCACCTCGCTGAGATGCCTTAAAATGTTTGCTAATATATGCTTCAGGTTCTTTTGGAAGAGTTCGGCAAAAATGTCTATTTTATCTAGCCCCATTTTCTTTCCAATTAAGTTACAAAGTTCAACTTTTCCCCTAAAAACAATTCTGTCTATAGCAGCCCAAGACTTGAGATTTCTTTTACCATTTTTTTTCAAAGTTGAGCAAATCATGTCTTCATAATGGCTTACTGGCAGTAAAGTCTTCTTTGAAAACTGTTCTTGGTTTTGGTTCTTCCTGAGACAATGTTTTGGTGTGACACAGAGATTCCCAGCCAAAGGTATACTATCCTCATGCTCTATTGTATCAGCATACTGAGTATTTAACATAGAGGAATAACCACTGTCCTCATTAAGTTTACTGTTTTCCAGTTCCTCCATTTCATAGATAACTTCATCAAGTCTCTGGGTTACTTGTTTGTTTTCTTTGTTATATATTGGTCTTCCTCCATCTTTAAGTTCTAGATTTCTGGTGGCTGCATGATATGAGTCACTAGGGAATATTTTCTGATGCTCTTCTGCACAGCTTTTACAAAAGCCTTCCTTGTAATTCAAGGGGCAGGATTTTTCCAGTCTTGTTTTCTCCACAGCAGATTTCAGTGGTGCAAACCCAGCATGAAGAGATGCACAGTCAAAATCACGTTTCATTTTGCAAGAGCGGTTAAGGTTTGATTTCATTTTGTTGTTTGTATCCTGCAAGAAACAACAAGGACAGTATTACAACACAGTGTAAACTACATCACAAATTATTCTTCTTATAAAGAATTGACCATGCCTTCCTTCTGCATTATGACTTTTATACTGTTATCTAACTCACTCTCTAGTGTCTGAAATACAACTAGTGGAACTATGGATTTGAAGAGCCACTATGTAATTCAATCTATGTAAGATCATCTCAAAACCAGAGTTTTATGCTGCACATAACTAGGGCTAGGAAACTGACTGGCTGATTTACTTTGTCACCATTCCACCAGAATAGTTTACTTTTAGACACACCAATGCCTCCACTTGCTACCCTACATGTAGCGACACGGGCAGGACACTTGCGGTCCCTGCAAGGGACACCAGTGGCAGAGGGTCCACGAGTGACAATCCGGACCAGAGAAGCCTAAAGTTTGCATCCAAGACCAGAGGCAATGCTGCTGCTGCAGCCAGGTATCTGGCATTTTTAAAAAGGGAAGAGGATGGATGGCACAGGAAAAACTCAAGTGCTCACATGGATGTGTAAATTACAAAGAAAAGAAGCCACCCCTAAACAATGGCCAGGGGGAAATAAAGGTTACTTACAAGCATGATTTTAAGAGAGTGAGAGGTCAATAGATATAGGGAAATTGAGCTTTCCTTGCCCTATTTCTTTCCCCTCCCCCCCAAAATACGGTGCTATCTCTATTAACAATTGCAGGGGGATGGGCGAGGGCTGAAGGGGAGAAGGAAGCCATCGCTGCCCTGTTAAATCTAAAGGGGAAATAATTTTCAGCATGCTTTGTAATCCATAGGAAATATAAGCTCCCCCATTTGAGCAAGAATTTTAAAGGATTTAAGCACTTTCAGCAATTTTGGAAAGAAGCATTAGAAAAATGTTTCATGAACGATTCAGAGAAAAAGTCCCTTCTTTGTACCTACGTTTAGTGGAAGAAAGGAGCAAATACGCTTATGGCTTTGAGTAGTGTGAGTTAGGTGAGAGATGTAAGCCTCGCTAAGCTTCCTCCTTCCCTTCCCCCCTTCCTTGGGAGCGAGTAGAGGAACTTTTGGGCTGAACTCCTAATGAATTGGAAAATGCCCCCTCATCAAGGCCGGCCCTGACCCTCCGGAGGAGCGGGCTCAGCCGCGGGCCCCCGCGGCGCTGTCAGGCTTCTCCCGCCCAGAGCTCAAGATGGCCCGAATCGGCGGCAGGTAGACCGGGTCCCGGCTCTACCGTGCCCCACGGCCCCAGGACCCTCACCCTGCGCCTTCGGGGGTCTCCCCTTTCCCCAGCACTACAGGATTCCCCCTAAAATGACGGTGGCTGGGCGAGCAGGAGCGCGCCGGGTGGATGCCCCCTCCGGCGGCGTGGCCCGGCGGGCGGGAGACAGTGCGGCGCGTCCCCGCCCGCGCTGCCCGCCGGCGGGAGCCGACCTGCGCTCCCCACCCCGGCTCGGACCCGGGCCCGGCCCCGCCGGTGCGGCGAGCAGCCCAGAGCACCCCACATGCGTCTCGTTGGCGGGATCGGGGCGCTCCGTGGCCGCCCGTGTGCCGCCGTCCCGTCCCGTCCCATCCTGTCCCGCCGGCGGGACAGCTGCGGGGCTAGGCTGCGGAGGGCAGCCGGACTGGGCGGCCGCCGGGGATAACCCTCCCCAGCCCATCATGACGAGCCATGCATTCCCAGTCCCGTCGCTGCGTACGCCGGCAGCCCCCGCCACCCCGGTCACGGAGCCCTGACGGCGGAGCCCCGCTGGCCCGAGCCGGTCCAGCCGCGGAGCCCCGAGCGCGGAGCCCCACAGCCGCGGACCGGCTGGTGGACGGATGGCTCACCCTGGCGCGGCGCTCACCTCTGATGCGGCGCCAGCGGGCAGTGCGTGGTCCGCGCTCGCCGGGCGCTTTTTAAAAACTTTGAATTTGGTATCCAAAACCGCGCCGGCCAATCGCGCCGCGCCCTCGGGCGGGACGCGGCCAATGGGAGGCGGGCAGAAGGCGGGGGCCAATGCGGGGCGCGGGGGGCGGTGCCGGCCCGGCCCGGCGTTTTCCCTCCCTGGCGGCTCTGAGGGAGGCGGGCGGCGCGGCCGCGGCTCCCGCGCGGTGGCGGCTCCCGCCCGGCCGCAGGTCCCGCCCGCCCCTTCCTCCCGCCCTCCGGCACCCGCACGGCCTCGCGGCGCTCTCCCCAAAGAACTGCGGCCTTCCCCGCCCCGGGAGTGACGCGCCTACGCTCAGCCTGGCGCCCAGCTACATCTCCGGTTTTTTTTTTAAATGGACGAGCCTGGGATTCTCCCATCATCCTGACACGCTCCCAATGTGCAAAGCTCCTCTGTCGGGGAAGGATTCTCTCCCTCACTGGAGATATTCAAGAACCGTATGGACGCAATCCTGTGCCATGTGCTCTAGGATCATAGGATCACAGAATCACAGAATCAGCTGGGTTAGAAAGGACCTCTGAGATCATCAAGTCCAATCCTTGGTCCATTACCGCCGTGGTTATTAGACCACGGCACTAAGTGCCACATCCAGTCTCAAAGGATCTCTCACGACCCTGCCTGAGCAGGGAGGTTGGATCAGATGACCCACTGTGGCTCTTTCCAACCTTAACCATTCTGTGGTTCTGTGATTTAAGTCTGGTGGTGGATCTTGCATCTGGGCTTCTTCCCATAAAAGAATTGTATTTATTTTAAAGCATGACCAATGCTATTAGCAGCTGAAGTGTGAGGAGAAGCACCACTGGAAGCTAGGCTGACTGGACACAAATGCAAGGATCCCTGCTGCTGCTGGAAATGCAATCTGCTCACAGCTCAGGGAAGTTGCATTTTCAGAGACAACATCCCTTGTGTTAAAATTAATATAGAGTAAGGCTTGCCATGATGAGCCAAGGACAGTAAAGTCCTGTCAGATGCCAGTTTTAGGATACCTCAGTCAGGCTCCTGCTAGAACCACATCATGTCTGGTTTTTCTCACACAGGTCAGAGGGTGGTCACTTGCAAGGCAACACCACCTCTAGTGTCTGTTGAAGAGCTAGATGAGAACAGGGAGGCTGTGAGCTAGGCAGGATTTGGCCAGACGGGCTACAAGTTTTTCTAAGTTTTTCATGCAGTAATCCAGTGCTCAGACCCAGTTGATGTCTATTATTTGTTTGGATGAATATGGAGATGAAGTTAGAAAGAACTGCAAACTCCATCCATCACTGGATGTAAGAAAGCCCGGCTTTAAGTCAAGTCAGTTAAGACTCTCACAAGTGCTCTGTAGTCTTCCATTTGCAGTACTGATCTGGTAGGAACAAAGACTTCAGTCCTAGCTTCTGTGCCAATCGATACCTAATGAGTCAATGTTTCTTTTTACTTTTTTATGTGCCAGTTGGGAGTTGTAAAACTATTAGTAAATGCAGACCTAGGTCTCATGCTTACCAACAGGATATATGTATGCCTTACCTTACGCATATAGATATTCCTACATCTGAAGTTAATGTGCGTGTCTTTAGTTAAAAGATTTGGAACTTAATCATAGTTACAATGCAGTGTTTACTAAAAAACAAAGCTGATAAAGGTATGGAATGCCTTACAATGCTTTTAAATAGATAGACAAAAACACTAAGATGTCTGTCACACCATGTAACTTTTAGAAAATCAATAAATTGGAGGGTCAATTAAAAGCATAAAGCAAAAACTCAGGCCAAGCCAAGTGGAGACTAAAGTATCAGCTGAACAATACTGTAACAATTCACTTTGGACACAAGAACAGAAACATTCTTTCAAAAATCAACTCATATGATTTGTCACTTGGCTTCCACAGCTTTTTTTTTTCTGGAAAAAGGGATATTCCTAGACTTCTGTTCTGAAGGGCATGAAAACATGATGAAGATACACTTAGACTCCCTTTCATGACATTTTAATTGATTAACAGATATGCATATAGGTAGAATCGCTCGAAGAAATTAAGTTTTTTCTTGTTCTCTCAAGTAAGCTATTTGACACTGTGCTGACGTTTAAGCTATTGTTTAAACGAAAACTGGAACTACAAATAGCTAATTTTTTAACGTGCGCATACCTTTCAAAAGTGGTGTATCAGTATCTTCTCAGTGGAGAAAACTAAAAACCGCAGTTCCTTCTGGCGCAGTCAAATTTACTTTTCAAATGGACTGCTGCAGCAATAATGTATCTCATATGAAGATAATAAAGTCTTTTACTCAGCAAGTAAGAAAACTGTTTATTAGTCATGAGGAAAGAAGTTTTGGTGTTTTTCATGACATGAAAAGCAGTTCCATTTTCTGGGTGGTATTCCAAGAAGCTTCCTCGCAGACCTTACAACATCTGTTCTAAGGGGCTGATAAAGAGTAATGTTCAGGAGGAATTTTTTTTTTCATTTTCTGAAATAATTTCCATTAAAGATTCAAAATCAGCATATTCTCTCAGAGTTTGTATCATTTCATCTAGCATTTCTTCTCCTAGCATGAAAGATTCAACATGATGCACTGATCTGCTTATTCTGTGGTCCGTAATCCGGTCCTGTGGAAAATTGTAGGTTCTGATCTTCTCTGATCTTCCTTTAGTCCCAATCTATTGAACAAGAAGAATGAGTTTATCATCATCCTTTTATAAAAATGATGAAATATTGATTAAGCATCTAAAGTGAAAGGTTTCTTTTCCTCTCATGATTATCCAAAATTTGTTATAGTTACATATGACTCAGATCATTTCAGTGGCTGCAGTAATTGTTCTCAAACATATAAAAGAACAATTTTACTCCATCTTTTTCTAATACTATTCTGGTTTTTCATGCTGCAATCAAACATGCAGTTTGTTTCACTGGATCTCTAGAATTTATGTACCAGTGAAATTTTAAGTCTGGTGAATATACAACCTCTACTGCTGAAGTAAAATGTAATTTTGTTGTCCAGAGAAACTGTGGACTCCACAACTTCTTGTTTTTCAGGGAAGTCTAGTGGAAGGTGTTCCTGTCCATCGCAGAGGGGCTGGAGCTAGATGACCTTTAAAATCCCTCCCAAGCCAAACCATTCTATGATTCCATGATTTTTTTTTTTCCCTCATGTAAGTCCCTCCTGGGCTCCGGTTCTCCTATATTTCCATTTACTATTTGCAGTTCAACACAGAAGTTACCCTAAAAACACATGCTTGTACAGAATGATATTGTTACTAAACAAAACTTACCTGAATCTTTCGAACACTGTTTCTCTTTTTAGTTTCTTCTTCTAGTTTGGCATTGTATAGTTTAGCACATAGCATTTGCATAGCTTTCTCTTTGTTTCTAATTTGAGATCTTTCTTGCTGACATTCAGACACGATCCCTGTCAAAAATATCATGACATTTAGCACTTAAGAGTAACACATACTAAAATAGTTTTGCAGTTTCTAGAAGACTTCTATTATGTTACATTAAGCTGTTTCTTTCTTCCATATTTGTTTTGGACTGGGAATGTAGAAGTCCAGACTTACTAATGTCTAATAATACATTTTGGGAAAGAAGTGCAGGCTGAGTTGTACAGGTGTTTTAAGCCATATGACAAGAAATTTAATTCCACATGTTGGACAACAGGTGGATAATGAAATAAAAGATATGTAATGTGATCTGACTTACAGAAGACACCTTGAATACTTGTAATGTTTGGCCACAGTTCCAGGAAATGTAAGATTTAAGGAGCAGTAAAATGCATGAGATAACGAGTGTATCGAATATGATCAGAATATAAAAAAGTGGGCACTATTTTATGAACAACAACAACAAGTGTGTTTTCTCATTCCAAAACATATAATTCAAGACAAGAAATGAACAGCCCAAGAAAGGAGTAGAGAGAAGAAATACAGGAAGAAAACAGCACAAGCTAAATTGTTATTTGGATCTATTTTAAGTAACTCTGGTAATATTAAAGTACATTTTATAAGACTACATAGTATTACTTTATGAAAGATTTATTTATAAACAACCTGCTGGATTGCAGTGAAGATTTAAACAATATTTAGGATGAGAGAAATAGAAGTAACAGGACAATTGTAGTAAGGGAAGTGAGATCAGAGAAATGAAGAAGAGAATGGTGGAACAGGAAAAAGTGAAGAGATAAGGTGATATATAAATCCTCCTATTAGCCATATATAACCATGAAAATATTTGCAATACACCTTAACATTTCTATAACATACCCTAATATCTACATTCAGCAAAAACTAAGATCAACTGCTGGTTTTAGTTTGTTGTGTTTTTATCCAAACACGCAGGCAATCCAAAACTTTTTCAATCTGGAGTATCTTTTGTCACGACATAGTGATATATAGAATTTTATCCTCTCTACTGTTTATCTTCTACTTTATTAAGGTGATGCAACAAGTGCAGAATGGATCAATGTCTTAAATACAAAGAGATCAGTGGCAAAAATCTGGATATGTGAAGATAAAGAGCACTTGGGATTACCCTGAGGCTGTAAAGCCTGAGTAATGTTTGTACTAGAGAAGAGGAAAAGTTAAAATGCCATGAAAGTCAAGGCAGCTGTTGAAGATTGCTCAAAGGGAAGTAAAAGGGTTAGGAATGGCAATAAAAAAAACATATGATAGCTAAAATCAGGTAGCATTTGAGGGTGTACCATATCCCTCCTATGTTTCCTAACCTGAGCCAGAGGGATGGGCCTCCTAATTATCTGTGTCATCTACAGGAAAGGAGCCAGCAGACAAATGGAAGCTGGCATCCTGAATAGACTCTGCAATTAAAAGCAACATTTTAATATGGAAATAGAGCAATCTCTCTTTTGGAGACTAGTCAAGAAATGGCAAATCATCAGATTTCAACCTACTCCATTTTTCAGTATCATTTTCATTATTTGAAAGCTTAAATATAACTTTTTGACAGAAACTGATCTGGGTGCTTATAGAGTATCATGTTTAGTGGCAAATGGATAGCTTACCTACTGAAGCCAGTAGTCCTTACTATTAAAAATTGGAGTGGGCACAGGATGATGCATTTAGAGTACTATGAACAGACATGAAAACTATATGAAAACTCTGCTCTGCTGTTGTCCAGGTTTGAAAATACAACTATAGTTTCAAAAGAAATTCTGACAACAGTTTGGCAATGTAGATCTCGTAGTAAGGAAAAAATGAAGTACCTGTTGGAATATGAACTATCCTTACAGCACTATCTGTGGTATTGACATGCTGGCCTCCAGCTCCACTAGCTCGCTTTGTTTCTATCCGTAGATCTTTTGGATTAATTTGCAGCCTCATCTGTCATGAGATACCAAAAAAAAGAAAAACAAACAAAGAACGTATTTATATTGTTTCTTTCCATACAGGTATCAAATATGCACAGTCAGTTTATTTTATAAGGCACATTCATGCAAGATCAAACTTTTTAAAGATTATGAGTGGTAGCTCACATCTACGTGTAAACATATTAACAAATCTTCATAGTCAGACCGGACTTCCAACACAATGGAACCCAGGAAATCAGACAAATAGCAGCTTAACACATAACTATCCGTTAGCACTCATTTTCCCCTCTTCTGAAAGCCCTGCACCCTCTTCTTCCAGCAGAGTTAACCAATACTTGAATTTGATACCAGATGGTTTTTAGTTAAAATGGAAGATATTCCCTTTTCTGGTTCTGGAATGGAGCAGTAGGCTCTGTGAGAAAGAAGCGAGATAACTTCAAGAGAGTACAGGAAGGAATAACATCTTTGACAATCTGCTAGTTCAACATGAAACAAAGATCAAAACAAAGCTTTATTTCTTAGCCAGTTGCTTTTAACCAAGCAAATATAGTGAGACTTGACGTATACACTCTGGAAGGGGCAAGTGAGGACAGTACAAAAATGGAAAAGAGGAAGTGCTAAAAGAAGTATCTATGAGCCCTGTAAAATAAGTCAGTCTCAGGTTACTTTGTAGAAAATGTAGTTTTCCACAAAACATGCAAGACAGAGTAACAGTGAATTTTCGAGTTATAGTTAAGTGAACTGTCAGTGACTTTCTTGAGATCAGGATTACAAGGAAAGATGGAAATTCTTTATTTCACCCCATTATAAAAAATAAAAATAAACAAATAAATATTACTTAGTTTAAAATTAAGAAGAAAAAAAAGTCATTAAGTGAGAATAAAAAGAGAGACAAGACCACTCGGGTATCAAACACTGCTTGTGGTAAAGTCTGTTACACTAAAATATAAATATTACCTTAGTGGGTTGGGGTAATATTGCAACAGTCATTGTGCTGGTATGAATGCGTCCTTGTTTTTCTGTCTTTGGTACCCGCTGAACACGATGCACTCCTCCTTCAAATTTCATGTATTTGTAAGCCTCGAGACCTGCTATACTGGCTACTGCATGTCTTAGGCCACCTTAAATACAGAAGAAACACAACTGTAGACCCATAAGAATTGCTGGTGCTATGCTGTTATACTTCAAACAGTGTCTTTAGACATCATTGTCATTTGTTTCTTAAAATTATGAATTTACCATTTAAACACTTAGGCAGTATTACACCTGCAAGAGAAATCTTAAAGCCACACATGCATACTCACACACTATCACAAGTAAAGGACTGTCAGATTCTTTTTATAGAGTCCAATTTAATTTTTTTATATACATAAAAAGAGTGCCTAAGATCAATGTACATACATGTATACATACAATCATAAACCACAACAGAACTCTAATACCAGTAGCAAGTTTACATAAAGATCAAATTTTGAAAGCTGCTTTCAGAAACATTGATTTTTTTATTGTTAGTTCAGAATCTATCATTCAATGGGAAAAAAAGAACCAGCCCCTTATGACTGCATGATGAGTATTATTCATACTCTTCTCATTATCCATTCTCCTCTATGCATCCTACCCATGTGTCTTCATTTTTTTATTTCATTTTAATCTTTTGCTTCCTTGGAGTGAGCAGAACACCAATTCCTGCGCCTCTTACCAACACCTCAGTAAAACTTGACATCAATGTCCTACAAGCACCGAACAGCTTGGAACTTGGAAGTAAAGCCTAATGCAATCATGGTTTCATGACAGAAAGAGTTTATTGCTCTACTAGTTTATGATATTCTTGCTCTTGCTTGTTTGCTTATGTGCAGTATAACTGAAGGATCAGAGAAGTGATGGCACTATAAATGGCACAGAGAAGTGATGGCACTACAATTTTTCACTCATTTTGGTTTCTAATGCAGCTCGATTCCCAAATCCCATTCTCAGCACAGTGGATGGTGTGCCAAGGGAATGACTGAAGAAGAGATAGGTGGCCTTGAAAGAATATTGCTGTTTAAGTCTTGCAACGTGAAACCACAGCTGAGAAGTGGCACATACTTTGCAAAAATACAGTTTTAGGCCATCTCTCAGAGTGAGGAACTCAATCACAGGGACAAGATAGAAGCTTTCTAAAAAAGGAAAATAAAGACAACATAGAATCTGAAAATGCCCTGCAGAACAGCAAAAAGTCAGCAGCCAGAACACAGGCCAGTTCTTTCATCTCCATGGACAAGGTTTGCAAATGTTTTTACTCTAGAGAAATTTAACATTCCCTCTCAACTTTACTAAAATAAATTTCCTTTTACAGACATGTTTGTTGAAAATAGCCTAAACTGCCTCTTCCTTTCTATTCCATGTAATTTTTATCCTTCTGACTTTTAAAATTTTTCTCCTACTTGTATAAAACTGTACCACTTTGATTCAAATACACTGTTCAACATACCTAGTGCTTCAGTGATGTAATTTATAGCCATTATCTACTATCAATTCTGTAAGATGAGTTTGTCATGTTTAGAATAAATCTGATAATAGAGCATGTAGTTAACTGATGACAGAGCATGTAGTTTAACAAATATGATCTTTCAAAATCTTTAGTTTAGATCAGGAAGTTTAATTTCAACAAGTAGTGTGAAATCTTCCTACTTCTATGCAAATGCTATTTGAATAAATGAAAGATCTCTTCTTTACTCTAAGAGAATCTTATGTAACCTAAAATAACGAATGTAGTTAAGTAATAAATCTTACTTACTCCTTTATATATGAAAGCAGGTACTAAAAAGATCACATGACACCTCTAGATTTGAGGAAGAAGCCAGGTTACGTCAGGAGTAAAAATAATGTGACTGTCCACAAGGTTACAGCACTGCTGACAAGTATTAATTATGTGATAAACAGTTCATTGCAAAAGCTAACTTACTGTCTTTTATCTCTCAATTCTTCTGGCATTAATATTCATACCATGGGTATAGTCAGTCTGTCTGAGCTGCGCCCATGTCTGTGACATGTTCAGGAGAGTTTTAGTTTGTAGTAGTAACAGTGTGCCTGTGGCACTGCAGTGCTTAGCATAAGATGACCAAGAAACTGGTTCAAATGACAGGTATTTAGGTCATACTGCTTTGAATCAACCATTACCAACATGGGTTTAATACGAAACCCAGCCAAATCTAATAAAATTTCAACAAACCCTTTACCCTGGCAGACATGTTGTAGGCCTATCAAATATAGTTAGGTCTTGCTAACTGTGTGCTTGCCCCTTTCATATTAAATGTCCCACTCTATCCTGAAATCTGATCTGCACAGAACAAGGGTGTTTGTACTCATTTTTTAATGGGGCATCTTATACCCAGATTGAGACAAAGTCCCACATCTGTGTCTCTGCCTTCCACTACAGAGTGAGAGGCACTGGATAAATAATGACGTGGGTTTGTTCTTTAATGTGTGCACTAAATTTTCTAAATGTGTGCACTAAATTTGTGCTATTTTTACACATCCCTTGGAGTATGTCAATAAAGTAACTTAAGAGTAGACTGAAACCAACTTTTAACTGCAGCTTTATTTAGCATTCACCTTATTCACACATGCTCACATTCAGATTTCAGTCAAATTCAGGAGCTCTCAGAAATGAGGGAATTTGACATTTTAAGTGTAGGACCTTGCTCTTCCTAATGCAATTGATAAAAATGGAGCGAGGACACGGTGCAACAGCCTAGTGCCACCAGCATCCTTAGCTCCACTCAGCACAGTGTAGACAATTTGAAACTGAGGGTTCAAACTTGCCTTTCATTGGCAGTGCCATGCATAGTGCCTCTACTTCCCAATTTCTTTCTAGCATCTGTTTTGATAATATATGGTCATGCAAGACCAAAAAATACACAAGAGGCTGACAAAAGCTAGGGCTGTCTTTATTTTTCCCAAAATTTACATCCTACTTTCCTAGACATTAATTTCAGTGCACAGGTAAGCTCGCAGCAAAACAGCAGATTTTTAAATAAATATATAGCCATTAAAAACCTAGCCCTTTAAAAGAGAAAATACAGGTAGATATATACTAGCTTAATATATCACTTCAATTTCCTATTTAAGGCATTAATGAGAATGCTTATGAGGTTATGGGCTCTTTGTCCAAGGACTTCATCAAAAGGGTAGCCAAACCCAACTCCCTTTCTCTTCCAACCATAGAACTCTGCAAGCTGAGTCCTGACTTAAAAACTATCCCATAACAGGGCTTTTAAGCTGAATCAGTGAACTGATCCAATTAGCACTGGGGCCTCAAAATTGCTAGAGCTGAGAGAGAAGAAAACATACAGCTGGCTAGAAGGTGAGACAGCCCTTGCTTAAGCTGACTGTGAAACTGTGCTCTGAACGTGAAGCCTATGTGACTGCTGGGCTCTACCTGATCCAAGTCTTGCCTCAGTGAAAAGGGTAACACTCCTCTCCCCTTTATACATGATAAAAAGAAGACCCAGACCTTTCCCTCTTTCTGTTCACACTGTTATAGATTAGGAAATCAGGGGAATTTTTCTTCCCCTGCCCCACTCCAAGGGAAAAAAAGCGGAGGGGGGGGGGGGAAGGGAGGTCATTAGCGTTACAAAAGGTGTAGCCTGCCTAGGTTAATGGCCCATTTGGAGAGAGGGAGGCGGGGGCTGGTTCTGTTCGGGGAGGTGAGGGGCAGACTGCGTGGATGGCTCCCTGGGTGCAGACAGGCATTTTGGGGAGGGGGACCGGAGGTCTAGTTTTTCTTTTGGCTGTTCATCCTGGTGAGCTCAACTTCTCATCCTGCCGGCTTCGACCTGCCTGACTGTTCCGCTCCCCGGATCTGCTGTGCTTCATCGGAGAGTTTGCTTGCCCGCGGGAGAGGAGGGGGAGTTTTTGAGACACCACCACCTGAGGCTGCGGTGAGTTCCCGTAGGAGTGTACTGCCTGCCTTCCTTTTTCGTCCCCACGGAGGGAAGGACCTCCCCATCTCCTTCTCAGCTTCCTCACGCGGTCTGAGACCGCTCTCTCCAGCCCCCCCTTCCCGCGGGTGACTGCCGGAGCCCACAGCGCCCCTGCCGACCACGACCGGGTACTGCAGGTCCTACACCTTCCAGCGGCCCAACAGCGCCCCCTGCAGGTCATAATTAGGACTGTGCTAAAGGGCAGAGAAGTTCTCATTTAGACTTTTTGTTGCTGTTGTTTCCTTTTTATTTGTTTGTTTGTTTGGTTTTTTTGTTACTGTTTTTGCCAACACACATATATCCTTTAATAAAGGGTTGTTATTTCTTCTGGTTTTTTTTTTCCACATTTTCCTCGAGTAAAGCCCCTTAATTTGACTACAATTGCAGAGAGAGAGGAGTTTGGTTTACCTCATAACTCATCCTCTTTAGCAAACAGTCCAGTCTCATCTGACTGCGACAACACCCATCTCAGCTGTACAATGTTTATTCCATTTACTTTCAAAAAAGAAAGTAAACAGATTCCTGTTGACTTTGAAGGCTGAACTGGCTCAGCTCCTGGCAAAGCATTTTCCTGGTCATAAATGGGGATGAATATGACTTTGCTCTTTCAGCAACAAGATGTACTGTAATATGAAGCTTCTTGTCCCTACCTCCACTTTCACTGAGCAAACAGTTTACTTGGCAAATGACTTCCTAACAATACAAAAAGTTTATTAATAATAACAAAGATAGATAATAGACAATACTGAATTCAAGTGTATTATTTGTGTGAAAAAAGTGTATTATTTGAATTGTCAGCAGTCACTCTAAAAGGGGATGCTGATACTGTGAAAACCTGAGTTCATGTTCATCAACTTGAAATAAGATACCTCCTAAGAACTCTAAAGAAAGTTATTTGGACATTTTACAGACATAACATTTTTTAAAATCAATTCAAATAAAGATTTTAAGAAACCAGAAGTGTAAGTGAAATCCACAGTATACAGACATAGGTATAGACAAGGGCTTCCCTTTTTATGAAATGTGAATACAGACAACAAATCAATCCTAAACCTAGATTTTCAAATTGTCAGTTTGTGACATCCAACTGCATTTCTTCCATGGAGCCCAATTTTTGATCCTTCTTTAGGGTACAGAAGGACCTTCATTAGAAGGGGAAAGTAGCTCACTGACATCAGAAGCTCAACTGGGAGAGTTGTGAATATTTATTTGCTGTGAATTTCTACACTGTTGAAACAGAAAGGTTCAAGATACTTGAAAATATCACTGAGTCCAAAATATGGTGTAAGTAAACAGAAGAAGTGTTAAAGGATGCTTCACATTTCTCAAAGCTTGCTAAAAACCTCTCTGCAATTATATTAAGTGTTGACTGAAAAAATATTAGTTTTTCTGACAGATTGCATATCCTAACATCCTAGCTTTTCTCATTTCTCAAAGTTTCACAAAAAAAAAAAAAAAAGATGAAAGTATGACTAGAGGTGAAGTTTCACAACCAATTTGAGCCAGGAGCAGTAAGCTGCACAAGTGCCCACCTACTGATCCACACCCACTAGGACATATGCATTACCTCCACAGCAATACCCAAATAAGCAAATTTGCTAGCTTTACTAATGACACCATGGATAACTAAGGCTGTAGATCTGTTAACACAGACAGACTTAACAAATCTATCCTACTGAGAAATGTGGCTAGCAATCTGTTAATCAAAACCCAAAAGTCCTGCCATGGCTGGCCATGTTTTGGATTGCAGTTTCATGGTGGGCTTAAGCTTGCTGAACCTCTTGCTGCTGGAAGAGGGTCCTGTTTTCTCACTGCCACCACCAGGAGCCACACCCTTTGCCTCCAGCACCTCTGTGAACATTTCTCCTCTTGTGCCAATTATCTGAAAACCAATTGATTTTTTTGTGTGTGTGCAATTTTTCAGGTGGACTGACTTGGTGATGAGACTCTACAAAGATGCACAATCAAAAGTGTCAATGCAAAGCAGTCAGCAACAATGCAGAGATAGCAAGATGATCTTTGTGAAACAACTTTACACACTATTTGGATTAAGCTAAAATTAACTATTGTGCCACTGCCTCAGTTTGTTGTGTAAAACTACCAATCCCCATCTCTTCAAAGGCATTGCTCCTAAACCAAATTCACAGCTCATCAGCACCAGAAGATCCAGTTTTTCCACCTCCTTGCATTCAGTCCCATGTTGCTGCTTATCCTAAGTTAGCTCCCAGGCTCATGAGAACTGGCTTAATACACTGACAAAGCAAAAAAAAATAACCCAGTCATAAAAAAGAAAAGTCTTTGCCAGTTTAAGTGAAAGGACATCAAAACAGACAGAAAAAAAAATAGGTGGGATTGCTCAGACAGGCAGAGATGCAATAAGGAAAAAGGTAGAAAGGAGGAACATCTTTTACTGGCATCAAGCTGTAAGCTGATTACCTGTGACATTTTAGTTGAAGACTTTAAAAAATAATTAGATCTCTTATCTCTCCTCTTAAAGCCTCAACAATTCTCCCACTTTGCTCATCCATTAGCTGTATTTAACATCAGATCATATTTCAAATAAATTCATGATGTTTTAGATGAAACTTTAAAAATTGTTTTAATAAAACTGATTCCTCTTTGCCAATCCATAATAATAAACAGACTTTCAAACTGCCACCAAACTGACCTATAAGCACTAAAACATTAACTAAGTAGAAGAGTGTATCCAAATAAAAAGTATATACAATCTGTATTTCTAAAAAATAAAAAAATAAAGCTAAAACAACGTCATCACTTTCTGATTTTCCTTCTGCCAAGAACCTGTCTTTCAGTATTCTCAAAATGTAGAAATGAAACTACTGAAAGACAAGTTTTCTTTTTGGCACTTTAGTATTTTAATAGTACTTCTGAAATGGAATTTCATTCTCAAATACAGAAGCTGAGGAAAATTGTACTCAGACATTCAAACAATCTTCCACCTCTAAAATTAAGATAGTGCAAATTAGCTTCCTGTAGTTAGGAAATTAAAATGTCATATGAATGACTGTTTCAACTTCTATTAGGAAGTTACAGTATTTTCATTACTGACCTATTTCACTGGGAAAGTATTCTAATACTTCAAATTTCCATTTTTTATAGGCAGCATATCGTTGATACATATCAAATATCTCCGAAGTGAACAGCATGGCTTCCTGCCCTCCAACTCCAGCAGTTACTTCCATGACCAGATCACTTTCATCTGTTTCTTCTGAAGGAATCAAAAGCAACACTATCTGTAAATACAAAAACACCCAGCTAAGACTCCTCTCTGACACTATCCACAACTGAGACAGTACAAAACACCAAGACAAGTCTGTAACTGACCTAGGCTGTGTTCTCTGTACCTACCCCTGGGTTGCCCTGAGGATGGGCTTCTCATGCCTCCTGTAGTGAGGAAGCAGCAGCCAGCAAGAGGTGAGTGGGGGTGATGCTGCATTGCAGGAAGGCTCCCCATGTCTGTTCACAGTTACAGGAGCTACACCGGTCTCTCTCAAGACCCACAAAACTTCACAGAAGTTTCCACCCATTAGGAAAACTTCGAGGACATTTGGACACTGCAGGATTCACGCCACTTCTTGCAACACAACTGAACATCTCCCCTCCCATCAGATTTCCTTTTAATCCCATCTCAACTGCAGAGCTAAGAAGATATGGATGTTCAGAAGATAGTTCTTCAACAACAACTCAAATGTATTATTCATTTATTTATTTAAAAAGGAAGAGCCTGATCTGCAGCAGAAAGATACAACAGAAGTTAAAAAACTGTATCACAATTTTGCATGCTGGATCAAAACTCTGGCTGATTTGCAAATTCCTTTCAATCATCTTCCTGTACTAGCAATAGGAGATGTTTCTTTCTATGGATAATTATTTCTTTTGGCAAAATCATAAATATTTACAAACATATTTATAAAGTGATTGTTGTATTGCTGTCAGAGGAATAAAGAACGTGACGACACCAGCTTCAACTTCACCAGTAACATTAAGTTAAATAGATTTTTATTGTAAAGATCATGATCTTTTTTTTCAAATAACACAGATACTCTGTAAAACCTACATAAGGTAGCAACTAAAGTAGTTACGTAGTATTAAAATATTTTTTTCCAAAACCACTAGTATGCCTGATACTATGTAAGTTTTGTTTCCAAGGGATAAAGAGTTGGACATCCATAATAGTATATGGAGATAAGACAAACTATAGCACCAGCTTAAAAAGATACATTGATTAAAACATTTTCAGGTACAAATAGGCACTCGCTTACAGCCTGTCTCTGTAGCATCTCCTTTTTTCATTTCATTAGATAACAGACACTACTTCAGTATAAATAGCAAGTGGGGAGGAAAAGAGTTTATCATATACCCACTGATGAGAATCATAGAACGGTTTGGGTTGGAAGAGACCTTAAATATCACCTAGTTCCAATGCTCCTAAGAAGACAATTTGGCCTTGTTAATTTAAGAATGACAAGGAAACAAGAGGCTTTATAAGGGGATCTCACCTGTTGTTTCAGTTCAGCTATCTCTTCTTCACAGGAGGCAATTTCCATTTCTGCAAGCTTCCGTAAATCTTCACTCTCATCTGGAATATTTGAGTATGGTTAAACCTCAGACTTATATCAGTGCCAGTTTGAGAAAACCTTCTGAAAAATAACCACATGAAGAACTTACTCTACAAAAAAAACCCCAAACCCAAAACCAACCTACCAAAACTTGCCCCTCTCCCCCAACACACTAAACCTGCCAGAAAATCAAATTAATACTATGATCTGTAATGAAGGTACACAGTAGATATTAAGTGTGTTCTAATCCTGTGCAGGTATAAGACAAGGGAAAAATCTGAAACTCTAAAAAACAAACCAAACAAAATCCAACCTAACCAAAAAAAAAAAAAAAAAAAGAAAAATTGCTGTGCCAGTGGTCAAACAGTGGCATAGGTTGCCCAGATTGGTTTTAAGTTTTCATCCTTGAAGATACTCAAACCCCAACTAGGTGAAACCCTGAGTAACCTGCTGTGGGTGATCCTGCTGAGCAGAAGGGTAGACTGGGTGATCTCCAAAGGTCCCTTCTCACCTCAGCCATTCTGTGACTCTAAGAAATTACTTTCTGTTTTTCAGTATGACAGGAACTTTAAGGATTTAAAGAGCACAGCAGCCCCACAATTGGCACTCTTTGTTAAAAGGACTATTATCCCTATAATTGTATGCAAAAATCTGACAACTGCAGTAGTAATTTCAAGTATTTTATATCTCTCAATTTATTCCAGAACAGCTGCAAAACTTCTAAAACACCATTAAAAACAAAGTTATGGGAGAACTCTTGCATAATAAGAGGAACTTGTAATTTTGAAGCGTCACTTGATTGGTCAACACTAATGCTTTTCAATTAAGGCTTCTTTTTCTGTACTACAGTTTCAATATGTTAAAGTGTTTCTTTTTTTTTTTTTGTCAATATCAAACTTCAAACACAGGGGTGAAAAAATAATAATAATAAAAAAAAAATCAACATTTTAAGCAGCCTCTGATTGCCCAAAAAGGGAGAAAACGGTACATACAATGAAAAATGGGGAGCTGGGGCTAGACTTTTTTCTGTGTACAGCAAACTTTTAAATGTGCTCAGGAGCAGTCTTGCACTAGAGCCACACCTTTTCAGCACTGTGACTGCAAATAGTCACTAGCTCAACTATAAATGAAACTTTTTTTACTTTATATTTTAGGTTTAATATTGGTGAATTAACTCCTCCATCACTTCTGTAAGAAGGAAATTAAAAAGATAATAATGCATAAACTGGTTTAAACAACAAGCATGCTTTATTTACAGCTGGCTAAGAGAATGCATGGCTGACTATCTGACTAACTGTCACTCTTTGAACGTGGAAACTTGATTATCTCTATCTACATTTCTTTACCATAACTACTGACTGATCAAGGGCTAGTCATTAAGGCCAACAGAAGGAAGGATAAAAATTAAGGAATTAAAAATCTGTTAAGAGTCAAACCAGTTGTTGGTAACACAATTAAGAAATAATCTACCAATTAATAGTACTTGCATACTTTAAGATGCAGATGTAACACAGGCTTTAAAATCAGTTAAAATAATATAAACAAATATTTGCAATTATTAACTGCAGAAGCGCTCAAAATTACTGACTACGCCTTTGTGATCTCTTCACTTTGCTGAAATTCTACGCCTGGCTTTGACAGCACTAGCTTTTTCAGCAGGTTCTGAAAGGAGAAAAAAAATCTTCCATGCCATTTCAGTAAGTTAGTTTGGGTCAATTATTAGTTCATTCAAAGGAAACATTTCTCTTTTTTCAAACTGAGGTGTAAGAGAATGAATAGTAAAAATACCAAAAAAGAGCTATTGTTTTTGGACAGTGTTTGCCACCTTCATTAGTCAGAACAGCCACCTACAGTTAGCACTTTTGATTAATCAGTATTTAGTAGCAAGTATTAAATGATCTAGGGAATATTTCACAATCTAATGACTGTTTACTGACCTTAAAAGTACTCCTTTTCTGCATTTTTGTTTTCTAACTGCTATCAAAAGGAAGTTTGATTCTGGGTAAAATAATATTATTTGGCAGCACTAAAAGTGCACAGTTACTGACACAATACAAAGTCAAATCACGTGTGGAGACAGCACAGATGCTGATGTCTACGACTGTAAATGGAGATAAGAAGGCAGGCTGGGCTGTCTCGGCAGCAAAAGAAAAATGGATTAAAAAAACCTTCAGAAGTTTTCTATCCCCGATTAATTATCTTTATTTTAGTTGGCCAGAGCATAGTGCTAGTAACACCAAGGTTGTGGGTCTGATCCCTGTACTGAACATTCACTTAAGAGCTGGACTCGATGATCCTCGTGGGTCCCTTCCAACTCAGAATATTCTGTGATTCTATGAGAGACAGGTGTCACCACGCTGCTCCCCCTTCCAGTATCAGCAGCTCCTACGCCGGTGGATGTGCTTTCCCCAGTCGCCCATACCCTTGATCTCTGCCCAGGTGGTTTCACTACTTCCGGAAGGCCGGAGGAGACCGCCCCGGCCCCCCAGTGACAGATGTGTCACACCCTCTCTATCCCCCCCCCCAACCCCCCCTCCGAGGTGACACGTGTGGCGCGTCCCCCGCGCGCGCAGCCCCCACCGCGCCAGGTGCGCGGCGCCGCCCCCTTGGGGCTGCTCCGCCAATCGCGCCCGCACACGCACATGTCCCCGCGGCCCGCACCTTGCCGCGCCAGCTCGCGCGTGTCGCGCAGCTCGCGCTCCTTGTCGCGCAGCCGCCGCACCCTCGCCGCCAGCTGCGGCGCCGCCCCGCCCGCGCCCTGCGCCCGCGCCTCCAGCAGCCGGCGCAAGGACGGCGCGGCGAACAGCTCGTCCAGGCCGGGCCGGGCGCTCAGCCTGCGGCACGGCTGGGGCGGACATCTCCCCGCTGCGCTGCTCCCGGCCGGCGCTGCCCGGAAGCTCCGAGGGGGCAGCGCGGCGGCCCGGCAGCCCTGCGCCGCGCGGAGAGCTCGCGAGAGCAGCCGCATGTCTGGCTGAGGCGGGACCACGAGCACTCCCCTTCACCGGGGCGTCACTGCCGTGCCGGAGACACCCGAACGCGCTCGGCTGCCTCCCTTCCGAGTTTCCGGAAGCTGCCGAAGGAGCTCGGCTCTGGCTTCGGGCGTGGTCGGGGATTATCGGGGCTGCGCTGGCGGAAACGGACGAAGGCGTTCGGCTCCCTGCGGCGCGCGGGGCTCCGCCCTGGGCTGAGAGAGCCCTGATTGGCCAACGCTGTCAGGGCGGGGCGAGGGCGGTCCTGAGCGCCCCCTGCGGGCCCCGGAGGGGACGCCGCGGTGGGTTTTTGGGCACTGACAAAAGCGGGGCTCCTGGGCGAGAGCCGCGAGGGGCTTGAGCGTTTTACTGCGGCGCTTTAGTGCAACCTGCAAGGCCGCATAGGTGAAAGGGGGAAGTTGGAGCTGTGGCTTTGGATATCCGGGTTACTCTTACAGACCTTCTCCTATCCCTTCAGGAGAAGTTTTCAGAATTAAAGTACCCTGAGGAGGAACATGCAAATACTTGTGGAAGGATGCCTCCACGGTGAAAGCACGTGCAAAATTAAGCACTTAGAGGAAATTTTAGAGGAAGAAAGAAAAGGCAATTCAAAGTGCCTTCGCATCAGAAATTAGTGATGAGACTAAAAGACAACCTGTTCACAAAATAGAGATCTGGGCACAGTCTCATATGTCGAAGTTTTAAATGGGAAGGCAGTGAGGATGTAGTCATTTAGTAACTCTGACGTAATGGATGCTGTGGGATGATCTGGACAAATTCCTTCTGATATGCAGATTGAGTGGCATAGTAACCTTGTTTCAGATAACGTCATTAATGAGATTCTTGGCTAAACTCAAAACAGTTTGGAGAATATACTTTATTATAAAAATGTGCAACTATCCATAGAACTTTATTAGGCAGTATTTTATATTACAATCATTAGAGGAGTCAGAGTTGTGTCCTTGCCTTTCTTCTGTCCTTGTTCATGTCTTAATAGAACTAGGTAATCATACCTTACAACTAAATTACACTGATGGAATAACTGTAACTTCCATATGATACATAGTAAATTGTTATTCTCATGAATGTAATATCAAAAGCAAGAGTAATGCTTGCACACTTAAGTAGTTTTGGTAGTCAGACATGAAAACTTGGAAGTTTTTGTTCCATGATGGAAATCCAAGGGCAGTACAGCCAACATGAGAATTTGTTATTCAGAATATTAAACATTTAAATGAATGGTTGGAAAAAATATTTTCCTATGATTGTAAATGCACCATTTTGGACAAGGTTTATTGGCAAAATACACTGTAACAATAGTTTATAAGTAAAAATCACAGTCAAAGACCTTTGTGGAGAATGCAGTCTGTGTGACTAGTCTGGTGCTGATAAACAGCATTGCTTATGAAATCTCACCAACTGAAAGATTCCCTTGCACCCACTGCTGCCTGACCATGAAGCTCCTTGAAGCCTTTTTACAGAAGGGTAAAGGAAAAATGACCAAATTTGTGCATTTAATAAATGAAATATTTTAGTGTTCTGCAATAGTGAATCATAGAATAGAATCGTAGAATCAACCACGTTGGAAAAGACCTCTGAGATCTTCAAGTCCAACCCTCGATCTAACACCACTGTGGTTACTAGACCATGGCACTAAGCGCCACATCCAGTCTCATCTTAAAAACCTCCAGGGACAGCAAATCCAACACCTCCCTGGGCAGCCCATTCCAAGGTCAGATTAGTCTCTCTGTAAAACATTTCTTCCTGATATCCAGCCTAAGCCTCCCCTGGCATAGTTTAACACCATGCCCTCTTGTCCTACTGCTGGTTGCCTGGGAGAAGAGACCGATGCCTACCTGGCTACAACCTCCTTTCAGGTATTTGTAGAGAGTGATGAGGTCTCCACTGAGCCTCCTCTTCTCCAGGCTAAACAACCCCAGCTCCCTTAGCCTCTCCTTACAGGACTTGTGCTCGAGTACCTTTACCAGCCTTGTTGCTCTTCTCTGGACCTGTTCCAGCACCTCAATATCCTTCCTGAACTGAGGGGCCCAGAACTGGACACAGCACTCCAGGTGTGGCCTCACTGGTGCTGAGTACAGGGGAAGAATCACTTCCCTGGACCAGTTGGCCACACTGTTCCTGATCCAGGCCAGGATGCCATTGACCTTCTTGTTCACCTGGACACATTGCTGAGGCATGTTCAGCTTCCTGTCAATCCAAACTCCCAGGTCCCTTTCTTCCTGGCTGCTCTCCAGCCACTCTGTCCCCAGCCTGTAGCGCTGCAGGGGGTTGTTGTGGCCAAAGTGCAGGACCTGGCACTTGACCTTTTTGAACCTCATCCCATTGGAATCAGACCATCTCTCCAGCTTGTCCAGGTCTCTCTGAAGAGCTGTTCTGCCTTCCAAGGAGACCAACACTCCCCCCAGACGACAGTTTTACTATTGTGTGAACCCTGCTTGTGAAGAGAAGTATGGAAAACTCAGGAAATTTAGAGTAAGGGGGGATTTAATGTAAAGCTTTTGAAAAGAAAAAAAAATCAATCACTGATGGTCAGCCTTTGAACTGTATCCCTGTTTTAAACTGGAAGGATGGATTTCCACAGTGTGAGTTCACAGACAAAGGAAGGGGCAAAATCTGGGTTTTGGTGTAATGTTAAATAATATGCAGACAATGTTTCTTTTAGGTTTTTGTCAGATGATTTTGGCACCATTATTGTTTTGTTCTTTCATCCCACAAACATCACTTCTACTGATGGTAGAAGTATTCAGGACATACATGAACAGGGCTGATGTTCTGTCATTGCAAATGTACTCAGGGTATTGGTGAGCAGGACTGCACCTTTGTCACTGCATCCAAGTCTCCGAATGTGCTACCATGCTACCCTTCTCAAAAAACAACAGCATTATGGCCCGAGAACAAAACCTATTTTGAAGTTGGTAGTTAGACAAGGGTCAAGTTAACTCGGAGCAGACGTTGCAGCTGCCGATGTGCAACCTTAATTTTTTGCTTTGTTGGATTTGATAAGGACTGTTAAGGCTCTGTTGGCTGGGTTAATGATGCCAGGAGCAGGCTCACAGACATTGTGGAGGTGGGAGGTTTGCTCCTGGTGGTATAGGAAGTTGCTAAAGTTAGAGATTTTCTTGAATCAGCTTTGATTGCTTTTGAATTGGTATTGTGGAATGCTTATATTAAATGGCTTTCAGAAGCACTTACTGCATATAGAAGATGCAGGTTCCTGAGCAGGCTCAGGCCATGATCAGTCCAGCAAGCTGCACTTATTGAAAAAGCTCCCCACCTATTTTTAGATACTGGTTCCACAGACAAATGCTCCTTGTGATCAAATTTGCTGCCTAGGAAAGCAAATTTGGCATCAGGTGACAGCTTAAACCCTGGCTGTTTAAAGTAGAGTGTAGTTGTCCTTTAGTTGCTTGGTTTAGATCACAGACACTTTAGCATGCCTTTAACTTAAAACAGAGCTATTACTAGCTCAAATCTGGTTTGTGTCCACTCTCTGTTGTCCTGTGAATGGACCATGTGGACTCCACAGGTACTCAAGTGAGTTGTGGACAGGCTGTGGACCTGGAAGCACTATGGCCACACTTCCATGCTACTGAGCAGTCTGGAACTCAGTTGGTTGACCTGCAACCCAGCCGCCTGTGTCACTGGCCTGTCTTTTCTCCATCATACCTTTAGTCTCCTTAATACCATATGTGCCTTCAGTCTAATTTGAATACTCATGATACTACCCGTGGGTTTTGCTTTATCCTGGGTATCCCAAACTACTTTCAGCTCAGTTATGTGAAAGCTCAGTTATGTAAACAGCTAGGTTGAACACATGCGTAACACAATATAGATTCTTTTTTTTTTTGAAACCTAAAGATCATGTGCTCTGCTTATTTGTGGCTACTTGGCATTAGGCATTATTTGACAGAAATATTAAACACTGGGCAAAAGTGACAAAAACAGAACTCACTTTCTGTAGTGCACTTGCTATATACATTCTCATGAAAAACTGAAATACAAGTTAAATACATACTTATTTTATTCCAGGCTATAGAATAAGTGTATTTAGGCAGTTTTTCAAAGTGTATTGTACACTGCATGCACAATAAATCAGTTTAATAGGTTGACTGTTTTACAATTTGTGTTCAAAGAACTGTATGATAGGCAATGAAATCATGTTACAGCATGACTTATTGTCCATTTGGACTACATCCATTTTGTTATAAAGAAATTTTGGGAAATCCAAACTGATAAATGAAATATATATTAAACATTTTAATATCAGCGTTTGCTCCAAGAAAGAAACTTCACATACTATATTCAATTTTTAAATCCCTCCAAATAGAGGATTTTAGACAATAAATTTTGAACGTGATTTCATTGCAGTATTACACTGAAAATTGGTGTAATATTTTTCAAAATGATGTCACAGTTTCCAAATACAGATTTTGGAATTTTATGCTAGAAATCAAGATAATATTTCAGGGCCTGCACATCTAGCTTTAAAACTGTCTTGAAAGGATGACTTGTTCATGTTGACAAGAACTTCTACCTGTGTGAAATATCTTATAAAGATAGCTAATGACTAGCAGGTCACCATCAAATAGTAACATTGAGAATATTCAAGTCTACATTTGTAAAGACTTATGCATGCAGTTTTGTCTCTTACACATTGTTTAGATGTGTGGACTAAATGTATTGTGCCTCAAACACCAACAACTCAAAATTACACTATGTAAATATATACATATATGATGCTGTATATGTTTAGTACCACAGTAAATATAACTGTAATCAAATGATACTAGACATATGTAGGACCATAGTTAAATTCTAAGTAAGAAAAAAGTCAGAGAAATTCAGTATTTCACAGTAGAAGGAGGCAGTGCTTTCTCACTGAATTTTCCCCCCTCAGGACTTGTAAACATCATAGCTCTTATTCTATCAGTATAATAATTGAATATTTTATTCATAATGGTAAATAGCTAACCAACATGAATAAAGTTGTCAAAACACAGTAACACTTTCAGACAAAACAGGTATTTATTAAAAGAAACATTTATAAATATTTTGTCTTGCATTTTAAACTACATTTTCATAAATAACAA